GGCGATTCTGGCTGGTATCTTCAATGATTTGGGCTCGGGAAGTAACGTGGATGTGTGTGTGATTGAGAAGGACAAGCCGACACAGTTGATGAGGAACTATATCAGACCGAATGAGAGGGTCAAGAAAGAGCGGAACTACAAGTTTGCCAAGGGGACGACGGCGGTGTTGGCGGAGAAGACGATTACAAAGGAGGAGATTGGGCGGTATGTTACTGTGCATGAGGTGACGGGGAGTGACAGTGATAGTGGAAGTATGGTTGTGGTGGAGAAAATGGATGTTGATGACCAGCCGTAGAGAGCCAGCCATGAGATTGAGCACGTTGACGAATATCTCGTTGAGCCGAAGACCACGACGCGCGGCTCCCTTGACTTTTGGTAGGCGTGTCGAATGGCTTGTGGATGGACAAAATGCTTTCAAACATTTCCACAAAGATGAAGCGGAACCTCTGCGAACGACCGGCGCTGTCAGGCTACGAGGCTGTTCTACGAGAGAACTGCGCCGGGTCATGCAGGAGTCTAAAACAACTTTGTGTAACATCAGTGACGAGCATCGGTAGACATCGAGAAGACTGGCGCTCGGCGGGGCACTACAAGATTAGGATTCATGACAAGGCAAGGAACATGTAATGCTTGCATGCCCTTATTATATGTACAAGTGGCCGTGTGTAACAGTCTACTGTACGCCAAGAGATACATATCTTCGCGTAGACTCGCGAGATTGTACTCCGCGACACTCAACCCTCTTGATTGTTCTCGGTAAAAGGGACGTACACCGTCGCATTTTCATATTCGGGCGACCTTTCCGTTATCCTGGTTTGAATCTCATTAACATCCCGAGCAACAGGGGAATTCGGTTCTCCGTTCGCGACTTTGACCCCGTCTGCCTCGTGACTTTCACCATAATCATCATCACTCGCGATGTCCTCCTCCAAATCCATGTTGAGCAGATTGTGGCCTTCTCCCTGGTGCATCGTATTAACCTGGTGCATCGTATCAACCTGGAGCCCCGCAGCCGCCAACCTCGACCGCTCAAGCCTCCTCGCTTTCACCGCATTGCCGAGCACTTTCTCTCTTGACTCCCGAGCCGCAGCACATAGCAGCTGCTGTGCAGCGTGCCAACCTTCATAATCAGCTACCAGATCGCAGACGTATTTGACCAGACGGTACGTCGGCTTCTGCGGTCTCATGGCGACTGCATGCCACAATGCGCGTCGCATGCGCGGTGTGATTGGCGCGCAATGCATCTGGAGGTACATATGTAGCCAATAGACCTTTCGGAAGGCGTTGCGGTCGCTTATAGTCGTTGTTGTAGCGCATTCGATGGCGAAGTTGTCGATCATTGCAACGAGCTGAGCGTAGGTATACCCGCCAAGAGCTGTGTCTGTAGGAGCCGCACGATTCATTTGCAGGGAGTCGGCGGTGTCCTCAGCCATGCCGGATGCAGCACGACTTAGGGCGAACTTGAGCTTCTGGTTGTGAAAGAGTAGGCGCAACACCAGGTTTATGGACCCTTGAACATCTCTGATAATGTTGCAGCCAAGTTGCTCGAACTGCGCCAGGTCTTTGTTCACAGATTCTGCGACGGACCTCAGCAGGTGCGGAAAATGGTGTCGCGCTGAACTGTAGAAGAGTTTGTCGCTGAGTTTCGAGAGTTCGCGCTCTTTCAGCGAAGCTAATTGTATATCCAATGTCCTGTACGATGATCTGACGTTGATGAGGCCGTCACTGAAAGTCTCAAGCCGGTGCAGGAACTTGTTCTTTGCAAACAATCGAGACCTTTGAAGATTAGTGACGATACTGGCGAGGATGTCTTCTCCACGCTGCTCGCATTCTGCAGAGAAGCGCTCGAGTATCACTTGACCAAGAGGGATGTCCTTGAACCTGACTAATGCAGAGTCATCTCGTGCTGAAAGAGCCATAACTGTCCACAGACCAACAAGCAACCTACTGCGCTCGTCTGGTTCAGTCTTGCCATGGTCTACCCATTCCATGAAGCTGGATTGACATAGGGTGAATTGATTAGACCTAGCTGTGCCGAGACCAGCAAGAATCGCATACCAAAGCTCGATCCTACTCGGTTCGCGATCAAGTTCAACATCGGCAACCGTGGCCGGTGTGGACTTGAAATATGCAACATTCTCAGACATAGCAGTAGACGCAGCTATTCGGCCAAATTCTGCAGAAGTCCTTGCAAGCAAAGCTTTCCTGAACGACGCATTTGACCTTACTTCGCTCCCAGTCTCGTCTGATGGCGGAATTATAGAGAGCCGCTGTCTGAGCATCCAGGTGTACATGAATATTGACTTATTGATCAATTGATGTGGCTTCGCCAGCATGAAATCGACTAAAGAGGGGAGTAAATGAATCGACGACCGGTCAATCATGGATATTGAGGTACTGAGAGTGTTCCGGAGGAGTAGTCCGTCGTCAGAGATGGAATTTCTGCAGATGCGCCAGAGCAGTTGAGGCGTGGAAGTTTGGAATTCGCTTCCTCTGGTGCGCCGAAGCCATTTTTCCAGGAATTGCTCGCCGAAGTCCTGCAACTTAAGGACTCTCGACCTTTCGACAGCTTCTAGAAGACCGTTGCAGAATCCCGTACGGTCCGTCTTGTCGGAGAAGATCGTAGGATTTGTTTCGTGTGCCCAGAACACGATCTTCTTCAGATCGTCGACATCGACCAGTCCCAGTTCTACGGCTTTAAAGATGATGTTCCGTTCGAATAACCAGCGGAGAAGCTCGACGTGCGTCTCCCAATACTTGAACAAGTAGAAGTGGTTGCCAGATCCAGCTGGGTTAGTTCTTGGATCGAGAAGAAAAGCAGCGATTTCTTCAAATTCGCACTTGGTTCGGGTCATGTTCGAAAGGATCCTTCGTGTTAGATGGGAGTTTTGCACGAGATCAATCTGAGATTCCGTAAGACCGTGTAGCAGGGCTTCATGAGTACGTATCTGCTTCAGAAGCTGTGTTAATCGTTCCTGCGATGTTTGAGACCTGTGTACCCGGGATGCAGTGTTTCTTGCTCTTGAAGTACGTGCCTCAACTGGCAATGCGGGCTCCGGTGCATTCGGTGGCAGTGCGGGAGCCGGTGCTGGAAAAGGCCAGCACCATGAAGGCTGCTGGTGTTTTGTCTGTGCAGGTTCAGTCGTTCCCCACCATCCTGCTTGAGACTGACAGCCAAACAGTCCAGTCGGATCGAAGCTGTTATTTGCGACTGCTGATTGTCCAAGACTCGTCAGCTTCCTCTTCGCCGATCTTCTGCGGGCCTCGAGCGGGCCTGGCACGCTACTGCCATGCCTTTTGTGATGCCGCGCAAACGCATTGTAGGTATCGGATAGCAAGTCGTCTGATATCCAGACATGCGCAGTCCTTGGTGCAGCTCTGAAATGCGATCGTGAGGCACTGCAGACAGTGTTTAAGGTCTTAGGCATAACATTTGGGATAGTTGTTGCGCGTCTTTGAGCATGTTCCGCGTGTAGTCGCTGTGAGATACGGTAGTCGGCACTTCTAGTGAGTGCACGTGCGGCGCTGGCTGTTGCGACGAAGGTTCGTTCTGTAGTAGTAGGCAAGAACTACCAGCAAGCCGCAACGCAGCGAGCACCAGCGAGGACAGTTGGAGATCGAACAGATTCCACGTGACTTGAGCGACCGCGGACGTGCGCGGAGAGCCCAGCCGAACGAGACCAAAGGCTCGATATCTCAAGTACCTTATGTAGTAATTCCTGCCGTTCTAGATTATCGACATTTGAGCACCGGAGTTTGTGTCCAGCAGTCCTCAAAGTGCCATCAGGTAAGGTTGATGTGCGCAGGTGATCAGAAACGACCCCGTTTAATGCTCGAGGTTCCAGCTTGCTCCGGCACGAAATTCTGGGTTGCTTTATTTACCGCCATTCTACTATTGCAAGGGAAGGACGGAGATCACTGATGTGTTCACACCGCTGAGTCTACGCGCTGACTCCTGTTGTTCACATCTCATGCAGCGCTTGCGCCTGATCAGATTCGAACAAAAGAGGCACAATTAGTCGTGCCGACCACCGAACTCGTGTATATATGAGCAACGGTGGAGCACAGTATCCTCCTCTGCCTCGACATCATCAACACTTGAAAGATATCTTCTGCAACAGAATGGATCCGGAACTTGCACGCTCATTCCATTCACTAACGGGTAGACCGGTCCAACCAGAAGAATTTAGACCACGATAGCCAATCGATACATCGATATCACTCTTCACCACTCGACCTGATGGGCTCTGATACGGAGCAACGTTAGACAAGGTGATGGTCTGAAACAAGAAGGTCGTGGACCTAAGCCGACAATCGGACTTGTCCTAGAACGATTGGCGTACTCGGTTGGCCGTGTACACAAGTCTCGATATCGTGCTAATCCACTGCATCATCATGAAAGAGAGTCCGAAGCGGTTGAATTATCCCCATGGCCTAGCAGGATTCTCCTTCGGCCCTTGGTCGAACGACCACGGCGTCTGCAGTACGCCGACATAACCGCCCTCGAACTAACAATCCACATCCATGCTTCAGTGTCGAAGGGCAGGGCCAGGGCCTGACGAGCTTGAACGACTCTGCTGTAGGAAAGTCGAGGTTCGGAGTGTTAGGCAACCGATGGCGGTACAATATGTTGGGGAGCCTGTGTCTACGTTTCAATGTGTTTCGATGGAGCACAACAGTATAAAGATCCAATTTTCGGAGGTCAGTATATTAGCCAATACATAATGCTGCGCAAAAGCGAAAGGCACGATAACTGACGAGACTGGGGCGATCCGACTTCAGCCAATGTCGACTTCTCAGCATGGTTCTGAGAAACGTGACAACATAAAAGAGATCAGCTCGAGCCACCCACCGAAAGATCGGAGTGGGCGCTCAACCTGCCAAAAACTGTGCTTGCAGCGTTAAGTCCGTTTCTACGCCAGGTGATCGAGGTCAGCCTGGTCTTGTATGCCTCTGAATCTCGAATCTCGTTGCGCACGAACAAGATACCAAAAAAAGAGTGATTTCACTGGGGGTCGAACCCAGGACCTTGTCCGGTTCTGCTAACTAAGCTGATTGTGAAGGACACGTGATAACCACTACACTATGAAATCGCGATTTTCGGGTAGAATGTGTGTGCTTGTCCAAGCACAATTTTAAGCCTACTACGCAAAATCACATATATATAGCAACGGCTAGCTACTGCCAGATCTTCAACGCTAAGGGACAGACTGTTACAAGGTTGCTTTAGTCCGTCTCGGCGGACAATCCGGCGTTAAAGTTTTTCCTGAAACGACGGTCGGCTGTTCGTTGCAACAACTCGATGCCAACATCTCTAGCTTTCTTGGAAACATTTCCCGGTATCACCACTCTACGGAAGCGGAAATGCACCTTTTATCTGGAATGCATGATCACTACTGTATCGTTGCTGGACAACGAAGACAGGGACAAGGTCTTTCGAGGTGGGTGATCTAGACACGATAACAATACTGCAGAAGTCATGTCGTGATCAGCAGGATCAATGATGTGTATACATGTTCGGCCCGTGAGATATCTGCACGATATCTTGAGCTTACCCGAGCCGCAACCAATGAACGACTTCGGATCCTCAAAACCGGGAATAAAGCCGATCTGCCACCCGTTTGAACCGAGCAAGACTCGAGCACGTTGCTGATTGCTGATCAAGGAGACTTTGTACTGGTGACATGGGATCCTATTCTCGTACTCTAGCTACACACCGTCAGCATAACGAATTGAATTGCTATCATCCTGCTCGAGAACGATGAGTGGATCGTATAATCGAGAATGGTCATTTCAAAAGTTGTTGTCGACATCAAACTGGAAACCTGATGCGGGCAGAGACATGTTGGTTCAAGAATTGTACTATATGAAACAGGACTAGAGCATGTTAACCTCGATTTCTTGCTCCAGGTGGAAATTACAGGTCAATTCGAAGAACGTTGCGGCAACTTACCCACGACAATTTGCGGCTGCTCAGCAAACCAACAGCAATGTCAGCGGCATAGATCTTCAGCAGGACCAAACCTAGTCGCCACTAACAATACTGAGGGATTGCGCTGAAGGTGCTAGGAAGTGCTACTCATTGCAACTGCCAGCAATCTAGCCGGCGTGTTCAGATGCAGCTGCTTTAGAGCTTCCGATCTCATCAACCTCTACATGAGCATGAAGTAGGAATCGATGCTTGAACCTGGCCCAAGGTTTCTCGTTTGTTCGAGTATGTGCAGCTCGCTTATCAGAGAATGCCTGTAGATTATGCCCAGTAGTTGAACATGGTACCCGGATGTGTATGGCCACTGCAGGATGCGTGGGGTTGTACCTCACGATGAAGTCAGTGGCTGTGCAATATCCTGTACCCTGCACTGCGCTCGGCAAGAGGTAAGCGAACGGTATCCGAGCCTCATTATTTAGTCCTCGAGTTGCACGACAGGCTCTCTTTTTCGTGCCTAGGGATCGCGCCAATGGTTGCGCAAGTGTAGTCTTGACATGATAGCCGCCGGGCAGGCCAAAGATATTGTGCAAAAACCACCCAGTGCTCTGCCACGAAGCACGGAATCTGGGGTAGAAGAAAGCCGCGAGCTGTCGATATATGGCAGCACTCTGCAGCAGCGCATGCAGCGTTCTGGCTGACGCCCATCATGCCTGCGCTCAATCTTGTGTAGACTGAACTAGTCAGGGCTGTGGCAGACCTGCCTACCTATCACCTTGCATGCCATGTACTGTATCAACACCTCCCTGCATGCTCATGGTCGGTTCCGGTTGATGGTTGGTGCAGTCTTGCGCAACGAAGTTTCCATATACCGCGGGGATGCAGCCAGCCTCACCAAGTGAAAAGCTCGTGCAGTATCGTGCAGATTACTCTTTTTGGCCGCGTGTTCAGCAGGGTGGCCAAGGGTGGTGAGCTGGGTGCTTCAGCATATGCTGCATCCCCAACGCTCTCAAAGCTAAAAGAGCTGCTGTGGAGCAACATGCATCGAACTGCGGCATCCACGCGCAGGAGGGGTGGCAGGGAGTAAACTGCTGTGCAGTAGCCTGTGACTAACTTACAACTACAGTAGCAGCACTCGAGTACTCAGACTCGCAAGTACTCGTAGTCGTCAGCGAGCGCCATCAAATGATAGGCGCAACAATATTTCGGTCCTTGTGTCTTGGGACGCTTGGCCTTCGACAAATGCCTTGCCTCTTACGCGATGCCATTGTAGATTCTTGCACCAAAGAGGTACTACTTACGCAGTAGTGTGCTAGCAATCCAGATACCTCATGCATCACGAAGACTGCTTTGGTACGGGCCCTCTAGGGCTGCGTATTCAGCCAGCCAATGATCAAGAATTCACGTCTCCCCACAGGACAAATCCGGCTGACGGCTGGGTAAAACGGTGGCTGAACTTGATCGTCGAAAGTCAAAAGAGAAAGTGGAATGGAGTGCCTTCCAAGGTGCCTTGCTACTTGGTACCATTTCGGTGATGCTCGCAACATTGTTTGCATAACAAGAGACGCTAAATTGCCATCATCTACTTTGTACTTTGAGGTCGAAGCCGGTTTGCCGGTGGTGAAGGTTCTGCTTTTCGTGGTTTCGCGTGCCAACAAGCTGTCCAAGAATCGACAAGAATTATTCTGCTTTCGGCAGCAGATAAGGTGAAGATGTAAGCCTGATCGTGGATATTCGCTGTCAAGTTATCTTGCACCGGTTGCGTATCATTACTGTTTCTAGCGAGGCCAACAGTAACCACCTGCATGCCGAACAACGAAGAGCCACATGCCGCGCAGTCGTAGTAGCGCTACTCTGGGCCAGAGAACTATATGGGCCACCTGGCTGCAGGACGCCTACCTCGTTCATTATTATTGCACGGCGGCGACCGTTTTCGTTAAAGGCTGAACGACGCTTAGAGGTTGGCGTCGCTACGTATGGGAGCAGAGGGGTACAGAACAGGCTTATCTTTATATTCAGCCTAACAGACCGATAGCAAGACAACTCGCTTAATCGCGAGTCGACTGACCTCAGCACGTATCACGTCCCATCCACAGAGTCGTCCCGAAGTGATGCGAATGCGCGGTGACACCGCGCTTTAGTTACCGAAGAGGCGTCTTGCTGGATAGCTGTATTGATGTCGCAAGTGAGACTCTCGGCGAAAACCAGACGAAGAAACATGTCCTCTTCAGTGCCAGCTACAGCAAAACAGAACCTGCCCGATTGAAGAAAAGCCTTCAGGTTTCTACGAACGACACGCATCATGGCTTGTAGCTCTTTCAAGATTTTCAAATGCGAGGCCTGGGAGGAATACAAGTTCCTCATGAGAGAAACTTCTATTCGGCTGGGGCCTTAACTTTACGCCAAACACGATTGGGTTCTCGGGCTAAGCTTGACTTCTAAAAATGATGCTCCAAGGATCATTTAGGTCATGACAGGCCAGGCCCTAGTCAACGGCTTGGGTCATCCTGGCAGATCGCTGCAAGCCGTTTGTAATTGCCTGTATTGCTCTGACGAGATCGGCACTAAGATTCACTGCAATAATGCTGACCGGATTCATCAACCTTCCTGCGTGCGCTGGTACCCAGCGTTCACCAGTAGAGTAGTGTACTCTACCTTCGCTCGCTGAACCTCTTACCAGACCTTCATCGCAGAGTCGAATCACGCTCGCTTTCTTCCACGCAGCAATGGTCTCGTGCTGTTGACGATTACAACATACAATATGATGAGCCTCGAACCTATCGTACTATTCGCCATCTCGAATCCATTACCACAGACCGTCTGACGACCTCTCAATTCCTTGCTTCAAAAGCTTCAACCGAGGCTGTTTTCAAAACCTGTCCGAATACTGTCCGAACAACTGTACAATATAGACCTTGATCACCAACAAGAGGGAACCATGGATTCTCCTACAGAACGCATGCCCATAGCGTGCGTACATTGCGCGAAGGCGAAGGCAAAATGTGACAAGAAGGTAAGCGCTTTGTACATGATGAGGAGATATGGTGCAACAGCTGGTTGTAGAAGCGGCTAGGACTCCCTGGGCTGGTGTGAGGCAGCAATCCCACCCTGTTTCACACCGGTCGATGAAAATGAGGCAACCAGGCAACGGCTGACCATAGCGCTGCAGGTTCCGTGCTCTCGCTGCGTGAGCAAGCAGATCGTCTGCTTAAGTCGCGCAACCAGAAGATCGTCTCATAACCCAAGTCGACGCGGCAACCTACCTCGAGCCCATTCAGAGCGAACCTTGCACACCTCTGCCGCTTTTCACGTGTCTCAACTTTCTCAATTTCCGGCCCCTCCAGCACCACAGGACATGCCTCTCATGTCTCCACGTACGTTAAGCGCTAGCTGGACCAGAAGGACCACGATTGCTGACCTCACACATAGATCATGTCACTCCTCATGGAAGCCATCATCGGCACAGCGTTTCCGACATAACACACCAGATACCCATAGCTCCGGCGACGTTCGGACCTGAGTTAGATCCTCATCTTCTTCGGAATGGCTACCCACAAACACCTCCTGATGTGACCATGCCTATGACACCAATGGTTCCGCAGATGTCTCAAATGGGTCATTTCATCCCTATGGGCGGCACGCATTACGATCCGGAAGGCGACAACAGATTCTTGACTATGGGTAATACTCATAACGGCCTATTGGAGTTCAACGACAACATGCTGACAGAGTTCATGAGCTCGCCCAGTATGCTGCAAGATCCAAATGAAATGCTATTAATGAACGCAAATGGCGTCTTACAAGCAGCCAATCAAATGGGCATCCTCACCAATGGAGCTGCGAGATTCAGCCCTCGGGTAGATCTGGAGACTCCTCCTCACCACGTGGGCCACAGAATGCGCTCTGGACCGTCTCCGTCGTCATCGTCCACTGTCAGCGGCCTGCAGGAACCCGATGCAGTGCTTGCATTACATCCGCTTTGGCCATTTTTCCAGTGTCAACGTGTAGAAAAGTCAACGTCAATCCAGCCTAAAACCGCCGGTATTTATCTGGAAGGGCTCGCTCAAACACTGCGGAATCAGGTGACATGGCAAGCATGGACAGCACAACTAGACGAGCGTCAGCTCGATATCTCATTCGAGCGAAAAATCTCGACAGAACCAATTG